CTGTGTCTGACGACTCGACTGTCCCAGGGGATACGAACCCTCCCAAGGACCGGTACAGACCGGCGGGCTGCTCGGTGTGGCACAGTAGGCCGGAAAGGCTGAGTTGTGGGCTGAAAGCACAGGCAGAACCAAGCTGATCACGTCGTCCTGTCTGCGACGTTAAAGAATTCTTGAGGAGTTACGGGGGATCTCCTTAAATGCCTCCTGATCAGCTACTGGTTCAGTAGTGACAGCCATAGTGTAGGTCTAGGCTAGAGACCATAGTTGACAGGATCCCTGTCAGGATTCTGTGAGTCTTAGATTGAGTCAGTAGGTCTGTCAGTCAGGGGTTGACGTCTACGTGGTGAGGTTTGGAACCACTAACCCGGTTGTACACTTATCATCATGGTTGAGATCCGTAGTGGGAAGGAGACTAGCCCCTGCACCACTGAGCAGCAAGAAAAGATGGTCGCCTTAGTCAGAGAGAATAAGGAGAGGAAAGAGCGTGAAAAGTAAGCGAAGCTAAAGGCTATCGCTGACGAGCAGGCGGCGAAGATGAAGAGATTGGAGGAGGAGATGAAGAGGGTACAACAGGAGGAGGAAGAAAGAAGGAAGGTTGCCGAAGCAGAAGCGACAGCAAAAGAAGAGAAAGAGAGGATGAGAATTGAGAGTGGGGAAGGAAGTAGTGGTGGCACGATGAAGTGGGAGACAGATACTGAGCTGGAGAAGAAGATCAGCGAGTGGGTCGCTAATTTATCGTTGGGGGAAGACGAAGAGGCGGAGTCCTATGTGATTAAGGATGAGAAGGCTGCGCTGGCCGCTGAACTAGCGGCCATGACAGACCCAATGGAACGAAGAGAGAGGGAAGACGAGCAAAAGTTAGCATGGAAGTTGAGAATGAAGAGGGAGAAGAAGAGGAGGAGAGAGGAAGTGAATAAGATGACCGCCGCAGTGGCAAAGGAGCAGGAGTGTAGAGCGGAGATGCTGGCCCAGCCAGATGATAAGGCCAAGTGGGACAAAGTACTGGGCTATCTAGAGGTGTTGAGCAAGGCCTGGATGGAGGAGCGCCAGACAAGCTGGAGCCAGGATGTAGCGTTGAGTGCCATGCGATCCGGGTTCAGGGATTTTGCGCGCGAAATCGTCACCCATATTGGGGGTGAAGTCAAGCAATTCAGAGACAACGTAGGGAAGTTTTGTGAGGGCGCCATTCAGGGTGCCAAAGCTGCAGCCGCTGTAGAAGGAGAGGCCAGACCACGTAAGGACCCAGTGAAACTTAAGTTCCCAGACGCGTACGGGGGGAAGAAGGACGAGAACTTTGACAACTGGGAGGCCAGTGTCAATAGTTACATTTATTTACAACATATCCTGATGGAGGAGCAAGTCCTCGTGGCCTTCCAGGCCCTGAAGGATGAAGCGGCTAGCTTTGCCAGGTCTCTCGCGCGTACAGTCGGTTGTGAAAACAACCTGGTTGCATATTCCAAAGTCACTCCTCTTTCCCGATTCCTCAAGCTCCCCAAGGAGCGGTTCGCTGACCCAATGTGAGGCATTAGAGCCTCTGATAAGCTCCAAACGATCAACTCCCGGCAGTGGAGGAGTGCCAAGGCACTCAAGGGTACCATGGACGACTTGGTAGCCGTCCCGGACCTCGGGGTCACTAAGCCCCAGCTGGTCCAGTTGTTTTATCGTGCCATTCCAGAGGCCCTACGTGGGCATTTCTTTGACAAATCTCAACAGGTCGGCATGACTTACGATGTATTGAGTATAGAAGTCGTCCTGTATGAGTCGAAGTCTATGCCAGTTACCACTTTCTGGCATAAGGACCTGGAGAAGAAGAAGTGGAAAGATCGTACCATCTCGGGCCAAGTCAAGGCCAAGGATCACTTGATCCTAACATTAGAGGAGGGTGGTACAGAAGAGGTCCCATATGATCAGATTGAGTGGGGCCTAGGGGAGGAGTACAGTTGTGTTGGGCAGGGGAGGTCTTACGCTGTTGTCGCGGCCGGAGGGAGGCCGCAAGGTAGAGGAGGAGGCCAGGGGCAAAGGGGCCAGGCCATGGGAGGCCGAGGACCGGGCGCACAGGGGGTTGGCGAACAGGGAAACCGCCAAGCGGGAGGTAGGGGTCAAGGTCCCCCGTTAAATCGCCAGGGTAACCGGTCCCCACAACGAGGAGGTGGAAGGGTGCCTCAGATGACCCTGGTGCTCCTGGAGGGTCTTACTAAAGACTAGGATATCATCTAAGTAGACTACTACAAATTTATCTAACCATGGTCTAAACAGGTCATTCATACAACTCTGAAAAGTAGCTGGCGCGTTGGTTAGTCCAAAGGGCATCACTATAAACTCATAATGCCCATATCTAGTCCGGAAGGCAGTCTTGTACTGATCATCAGGATTTAGGACGGCGGGAGTGAAACGGTTTTCACCTCGGACACCAAGCAATTCTTCAGTGACCTCATTTTTCTGTTTTGTTTTCAGTTTCTTGTGTTTTTTTTTTTTTTTTTCACACCTCATAAGATCTTCCTTCTTTTTTTTTAGGGAAAAGTTTCGAAATGCCCCTGAAGTTTGCGTTTATTTGCGGCATGCCCCTGTGAAGGCTGACTTACCCTGTTATACCCCTTGCACCTCTGAAATTCTCCGCAGGCCCCTGTGAGCATAGGGCGTAACTTTCCTATATGCCCTTACTGGACCATTGGTGGTGTTTCTTCGGTCCGTCCTTGAAATGCCCTCACGAGGGCCACACATCTTTCTGTGATGCCCCCGCAGCAGTGGCGGCAGGAATAGGTATTTCACGCGCCGCCGCGGAAAAATGATGCAGCAGTCAGTCTTCGAGTTCACCATGCCATGGATGGCTTCTCCCTCCTCCTCCACCCATCCTCATCGCCCTCCTCCCTCCTCCTCCATCCATGCTTGTCGCTCTCCTCTCTTCTCCTCCAGCCTCCATCCTCTATCCTCGCCCATCGTCATAGTCGTTGTCCTCCCTACTCCTCTTCCCTCCTCTCCCCTCGTTCTCCCTTCTCCAGCTTTCTCTTCTTCACCCCTCCCTCTCCTCCTCCTCCTCGATTGTAGACCTCCTAACCATCACCATGGCCGTCTTCTTGGCGTCATCGCCCCTGCACGCGTGTGCGTCTGTATGTGTGTGTGTGTGAGTTGTGTGTGTGTGTGTGTGTGTGTGTGTGTGTCCTCCCTACTCCTCTTCCGTCCTCTCCCCTCGTTCTCCCTTCTCCAACTTTCTCCTCTTCACCCCTCCCTCTCCTCCTCCTCCTCGATTGTAGACCTCCTAACCATCACCATGGCCGTCTTCTTGGCGTCATCGCCCGTGCANCTCCTCTTCACCCCTCCCTCTCCTCCTCCTCCTCGATTGTAGACCTCCTAACCATCACCATGGCCGTCTTCTTGGCGTCATCGCCCGTGCACGCGCGCGCGTCTATATGTGTGTTTGTGTGTGTGTGTGTGTCCTCCCTACTCCTCTTCCCTCCTCCTCCCTCGTTTTTCCTCCTCCAACTTTCTCCTTGTCACCCCTCCCTCTCCTCCTCCTCCTCCTCAATGGTCTACCTCCTAACCATCACTATGGCCGTCTTCTTGGCGCCATCGCCCCTGCACGCGCGCACGTCTGTATGTGTGTGTGTGTGTGTGTTGTTGTCATCTTTTCGTTTACTTGTTTGCTCGACAGGTGGTATATGATGACGAGTAGAAGGTCCTCCCTACTTCTCTTCCCTCCTTTTCCCTCGTTCCTCCCTCGTCCGTCATCGTCATAGTCCTTGTCCTCCCTACTCCTCTTCCCCCCACTTCCTTCCTCTTCCCTCGTATGGACTGCGAGTGTCAACAACAGCGACAGGGGCTTGCTAGAAAGATGGAGGGTACCGGTAAGGGCATATGAGAAACATTTCTGCTGGTTCTCAACTGGCAGCCGGTAGGGGCATACTGAAAATTTTGGTACCGGTACCGGTAGGGGCATATGAAACATGTTTGAGTCCCAAACAACGCCAGGGGTTTTCTGGAAACATCATTCGTCGTCTGAGGGGCGCGACAAGGTAAGTCGGCCGTCATACGTGCAATCAGACTCGTTCTCAAACACACTTTTCATGCATGTAAACAGCAACGCAGTATACTGGCGACATGCGCCCACTCAAAACTCAGAGATATGGCTTTCAGATACGAGTTCACTCTCAATTGGCTATGGCGACTTCAGCGCCCAAACATCTCACTGTTCACATACACTGGATCACCCTGGATATCCCACACGCATCACTCTAACACTTGAGCCCACACACACACTCACTACTAACTACAGCTATCGCAGCTATGGCTGCCTCTAACCTATCACTATGCTAACTCCTCTCTTGCCCACTGCGTCCTCCGGGCTCATCTGCAGACCTCCTTGCACAAGTCRCTGTGGCAGCGCTTCCGCATGGCTCACGTAGGAATGAATGAATGGCTGGGCGCTGCCTCTTGATTTATACTTCAGAAACTCGTTGGTCTGCCCTTTGCCATCGGCCCTTGGTGCTTGCTGGACCGGACTGGGACTGACTGGACCTTCCGTTGACTGACTGTGGACTCACCGCTATCCTACCGTCGTTGCACTGCTGTTGCATTGCGGTTTAGTCCACCACTTGCCTCACCACTTGACCACTTGCCCACTTGCCTACCTTCTTGAAGGTCTACAGCTAAGCTTCCAGAACTCACTAAGACTCCTACGCTATAGACCTACAGATCGAACCCCTGCTGTCTATGATCCCACGACAGGTCTACCAACAAGTGCAATCGCAGTAGTCAATGGGGATGCACCCCCCCTAGTGACGTCGTCCTGGCTTTTCAAAAAAAAAAAAAAAAAAAAAAAGAGGGGGGGGGGGGGGGGGGGAGGGGATGCAACAAAAAAAAGGGAAGGGGTTCATCTATCCATCGATGATTGGGCTTTGGTTGATATTTCAGTTCCAATCAGAGCAGCACATGAGTTTCCGGATCCCTTTCCAACACCGTTTTTTTTTTTTTTTTTTTTTTAATAAAGCCCAGGGTGTTGTAAAGGCCAAGGACCAGACCCGCGGTGATTGCTGGTAGCGGCAGCCAATGGTTGTCCTGACAGGATAGGCCACCAATCCTACCCATCCCCACGTTAAACCACCAGTAGTTGGCCCAGCTATGGGCCTCATTTGGGGGGGGTCGTTCACATGAACGACAGGTCGGTGAGAACTGCAACGTAGAAAGGCAAGAGCCGGAAACAAAGAAAAAAAAACCCTACTTTTCTAAGCTCGGCGGGGGTCGTGGTCACGTAGGGTTCTTGGTGGAATGCTTCTAACTTTCCAAAAAAAAAAAGAATGCTTCTTACTACTATTTCAATTAGATTCTGGATGTCGTTTTTTTCTGCTTTTGTTTCTTTTCCCTTTTTCTTAGATTCCCCTGCCAGCCAGGCAGGGCATATCCGGTGATCTATAGCGCGCCAATTTTTTAATACCAGCTAACACTGACCCCATTTAAAGCGCAGTCGTTGCTCCGACGATGTTCTTCGACGGGTCGGGAAAGGTATTCATCAAATTCCCCCGTTTGCTGCTGGACTTTGCGCCGCGAAGTTGTGTGGTAGTGCATGGCGCCGCGTCGCAATTGCGTCGCGAGTGTTGACACGACTTGCGGAGGATTTGCGGTGTAAGGAGATTACTCGCGAGTGCCAGGCCTCTGATGAGCTGGTGAAATTCCGGCGAAACACTCATTGCTCTTGTTTGGGTTAGGCAGTAGGAGACTCGTGTGTGAGTGGTAGCGCGCCAATATTTTGGTACCGGCTAACACTGACCCGGTTTAAAGCGCAGTCGTAGCTCCGACGATGTTCTTCGACGGGTCGGGAAAGGTATTTATCCAATTTCCCCGTTTCCTGCTGGACTTTAAGCCGCGAAGTTGTGTGGTAGTGGATCGCGCCGCGTCGCAATTGCGTCGCGAGTGTTGACACGACTTGCGGAGGATTAGCGGTGTAAGGAGATTACCCGCGAGTGTCAGGCCTCTGATGAGCCAGTGAAATTCCGGCGAAACACTCATTGCTCTTGTTTGGGTTAGGCAGTAGGAGACTCGTGTGTGAGTGGTAGCGCGCCAATTTTTTGGTACCGGCT